ATTCTTTGGTGCATTCATTCTTCCCCTTGGCCACCTCTTAATTATGTGTGAATATAGTTCAGCCTTAGGGAAAACTGCAGCCACTTCATCCCAATCTGGGGATCCCTTGGCCTTGCTGGGTGTCTTCTCTCCATAGCACTAGCCACCTTCTTAGTGTAGTCCTAGACTGCACTAAGGCAGGAAGGGCCCCGCCCAGGCCCCACAATTTAGAGGAATTCTTTTCCCAGCTGCTCCCCATTTCTAAGGCTCAAGGAGTGGAGGAGTATTCCAAATTCAAATCCGGCCTTCTAGATTGTTAGGAAGGTGTCTTTATCAAGGGACAAAGCTAGAACGTTTTTTATTTAGCTTAATTCATAATTTAAAAAATATTTAGGCTTATAGTCCATTTATGCTATTTCTTAAATGTTAGGGGCATCCTGGATCTTTAAACATATTATAGAATCTACACTTTTTGATCATGTTTATTGCCTCTTCCTGTCTGTCAACAGTGGACTCCCACATAAGGGCAGGGATTTTTGTCTCTTTGTTCCCTGACGTCCAGGTGAATGACTAGAGGAACTCCATGAAAATTTGTGGAATAAGTGAATGGATGAATAAATGAGTGAGTAGTTCTGTGTGTCATTCGTCTTGTATGTGAGGACTTTCTGTATGGTCTCTGAGGCCAGCCAGACCTGGTCTGTCGCGGCGCTGAGAATTTGGGCAGCTTTTTTTAAAACTTTAAGTACCTATACATGAAGTTGTAAGGGCTAAATAAAGTATCTAATTTCTGAGCCTCAATTTGCTCATCTACAACATGGGGATAATATTTGTGAGGTTCAAATAAGTTACTTAGGGGAAGTGCTTACTTAGTATAGTGTTTGGAACAACAAAGAGAGTGAATGCTAAATTATTCATAACCTAAAGAAGGAAGCATGAATGTTGGGATGATGCAATTGGTGCCCAAGAGAGCGGCTTTACAGAGCCCGCCAAAGGAGCCAGTAAGCTACTGCCTGCCCCAGTGTGCATGGGCCCAATAGGTGTTGTGGCATGTACTCACTCACCCAGCACTTGGGTTCAGCTCTGAGGCTGGTCTGATCCCAACGCCCCTGCACCACTCACGAATTCGAAGGGGAGGAGTAGGCAGTGACATGCGTGTCTACATTGGTTGAAGGGGTGGGTCGGGCACTCCCAGGGACCATCAGACCGTTTTAAACAATTCTTATAACCTTGACAATCCCATTTATCAGAGTGAGAAAAGAAGTTGAAGGCAGAACTGCCCTGGAGCTCAAGCTCCCAGCCCCTTTATTCCACACAAGACACTTCCTGCCCTTTGTCTATCCACAGTTCTCCTTACCCTTCAGTGCTTTCTCACTACCACTTCCCCTAGGCAGCCACCCATGATAAGACAAACCTGACTCATTTCTCTGGACTTCCCTGGCATCCTCGGCAGGGCTCTGTCTCTCTTCTCTGCCCTATATGGCTTTTCGGGATGGGGCCTATCTTGTCTCCTGCTGGATCTAAGTTCTTTGAGAGCTACAACATCATCTCCAATGCTCATGCTCCTTTCCTGCCCCAGAGAGTGTCCTACATTGGTGGGTGGGCCATGCCAGCTGCCCCCGGGACTGCTGAGGGGCAGGCAAGATGTCTGAAAGATAAAGTAAAGCAAATCAGAGAAAAGAACAGTTGCCCTGGTTAGACCAAGCATTCTTCCCCATGAGGCAGGTAGGTGGGAGACATCATATTAATAGCAATGGTGGTAGACACTGTGCCTTAGGATTCATCGCATTTCTCTTTCACTACAGGACTTTAAGGTAGGTCGTACCACCATTTTACAGGCATGGGTGTGAGTTAAGAAGATACAGGCACCTGTCCAAAGGTAAAGAGCTGAAGTCACGCCTCACTTGTCACCAACTGCCTAAGTCTATTCATGATGCAACCCTTGGGTTGTCCTTTGTAGCTCTCAATACCTGCAAGAAGAGGATGCTTAGCCATTCCATAGCAACCTCTCAGCATCATTCTGAGACAGAGAAATTTTCTTAACAAGTCAGCACAGAGAGTCTTGTGGCCATTCTAAAAGTGCCATGAAGTTCCAACTTTCTGTCTTCTGAGTGTTTCCAATTGTGCCTGTGAGAAAGCTCCCTCTCCCAACAGGGAAAACAACCCTGTTCTGGATACAGGGTCAGAGTGTCTCTGGGAGTTGGCCACCAAGACACCTTCAGGACAGCACAGAGACACGGGCAGCTCAAAGGGCCAGTCGAGGGTCCATTAACAAGGGGAAAGGACAGAGGTCATGCTAGATTTGGGGGGCAATTTTTATTGCACTATGATAGTCTCTCTTACCTTACCTGTGAGTGATATGTGCCAAGACCCCCAATGGACACCTGAAACCTTGGATTGCTATATACACAGACAGTTCCTGAAGTACAGTGGTCCTACTTAGTATTTTTTGACTTTCCAATGATGAGACGGTAATAGGTACTCAGTAGAAATTGTACTTTAGGTACCCATAGAACCATTCTGTTTTTCACTTTCAGCGCAGTAATCAATAAGTTAGATATTCAACACTTTATTATAAAATGGGCTTTGTATTACATGATTTGTCCAACTGTAGGCTAGTGTTCCCAATACATTTAAGGTAGGCATACCTACCTAGGCTATAGTATCTAACAGTTTAGGTGAACTAAATACATGTTCGATTTAGGGTATTTTCAATTTATGATGGATTTATCAGGATGTAATCTTACCATAAACTGAGAGGCATCTGTGCTATTTTTTTCCTCCATTGTCAGAAGGTACATGCACTTGCTAGAGAGAGATGAAGAGAGAGAGAGAGAGGGCACCCTCCAATGGGATGTGGTCACACAGCAATTCCTTCTCCATTTCTCCATCCGGTTGGGATTTTGGACTGCACATACATGCGCCCAGTGTGTTTATTCAAGCCCCCAGGGTCAGGATTAGAACTGTGTGATCGGCCTGTGGGATCCAGCTCCCTTTAACCACTAGCCTACGAGGCCAACCCTGTTCTATGTTTTTGATCTAATAACTGAGATGCCTACAAAGTGACTAACGGGTTGGTAGCACACACTGTGGATATCCCCGACAGAGATGATTCATGTTCCGGGCAGGACAGGGGGGGATGGCACAGGATTTCATCATACTACTTAGAATGATATACAGTTTAAAACTTATTTTTTACTTCTGGGCTTTTCTATTTAATGGTTTTGGACCCCTGTTGACTATGGTAATAGAAACACAGACAGCAAAACTTCAGATAAGGGGGCACTACTGTTTAACTCACATATAGAGATGTGGACAGATCTTAAGAATACAGCTCAACAAATGATTACCAAGCAAAGCCACTTGTTTGCAAGCACTTAGCTCAGAAAACAAAACTTAACTAGTACTCCAGAAGCCCCTTTGTGCCCCTGCCCCATCACTGCTGCTTCTGCCACAAAACTACTACGTGGTGTCTAGCAGTAGAGATGGCCTGTTTTTGTACTTGATATAGACTCGTACTACGTGCGCTCCTTTCTGCCTGCCTTCTGTGTGTTCCTTTCTGTATGTTACTTTAAAGTAAAAAAGACTTTCTAGTGTGGCTTTTAAGTCTTCTTTCTGCTATCTCTGCCATGTTAAGTACTATGTTAACACATGCCTGATAGTTTTGCAATTTCTTTGCATGGGAATCTTCAGGCTGCTGGTAACCAAAGACAGGTTACAAGGACAAGGTATAATGACATAGAGAAAAAAAAATCTTCCCATAGACTCCTTTTGCATAACTATTAAGGAACAGGGAGCTTGGGCTGATTAAAATTTTTTGTGTACTCAAGAGTGCACTTTTCAGTTTAAACATTCTTTTAAGAATCTGTGTTGGACAAAGATGAGGAGGTGTCTTGCAGAGCCAGGGCAACCTCAGTGGAATGGCAGAAAAGGAGCGCCAGAGTGAAGAAAACTATTGAGTAGTTGGAAAAGGCTTCATGCATTTTTGCATAGACAAAAAAAAAAAAAATATGTCCTGACTTTTCTGATGACCCAGTAGATAGCCCAGGAGTTGCCAGGATGGCCACAAACATTGGCTGAGCCAGGGAGGCAGGTACCCACTGCCCGTGGAACCCTAGTCAGTCTGTGTGCTATGGGCTGGCCTGCAAGCGTCTCTCAGCCAATGAGGTAGTCCCTATATCCTGAGGGCCTGACATTCCGAGAGGCTTGAATAGGCATTGGTAGCAAGGAGGTCCAGCATTTGCTTCTCCGGAAAGACGAAAATGCAAATACCGCCTGCTTTCTCGCCCATCTAGCATTTCGAGGCAGACAGGGTAGTTTTGCTTCATGCCAAGCCAGCTGAGAGCCACATCCAATCTGCACATGCTCCTTTTAACTCTTTGGTTGGCAGCCCCAGAAGCACAGAGGCAAGGCTGGGGTGGCAAGAGGAGTATGCAAGTTCTGCATTTGCAGCCTCTGTGCATCCTCAAAGAAGAGGAAAGCCGAAATCATACCTAGGCTTTGGAATTTTGGAATCTAACATACAAAAGGCAAAAAGCCTCCTTACTGCCACATTACCACTCATAAAGGGGATAAAGATCCTTACTGGGACTGAGAAGTATGTTTTAACGTCATTGTATTTATTAGGTTCTGAAACAATACACATTCACATCCTTTGAATACAGTACATTTGGCACAATAATGTTTACAATGAAATAACACTAATGAATGGCAAGAGATTAAAATTATACCCATAAAGAAAAAAAAATGTACAAATAAAGCATCACAATACAAAAAAAAACCCCTCTAAAATTGAATATATTTTATATTTAGCCAGAGTAATTTTGCACATAATTTAAAAAGAGGTAATTTTTTTAGCCTTCTTTTTTTGTTGTTGTTTTTAAAGCAAGAATGCATTTATTCACCTTTGGAGGAAAAAAATTATGTTTCCACTTCACAAAGTTTATAATGAGAGAACACAGGAAGATAGCTATCCTTCATTTTTTTTTTTTTTTTTTTTTTTTTTGAGCATTTTGTACTCCACTTTTTTTTTTCTTAAAAAGAGAGAGAGCCGAAAAATGAGAAAGAATGGGCAAAAATGTAACAGTGTGTCCGCTTCCAAACTCTTGTGAAAACGAAAATGAAACAATGAATACTCAAGGAACAACATAAATCTTTTTCTATAGACCTACGCTGGATTTAAATCTGCCGCCATGGGAACATCAGCCAGAGGCATCAGCCAGCCCACATCTGGGTGCTGGAAGGGAGCCTCTCGGGGCTCACTGGAGGCCTAGAGCTGCTGGGTGGAATGTATTATTTGACTTCCCAGCAAAAATGCCATGTGACCACCACCAAGCCCCTGGATGAGGCCATTTGGCATTAGAAGTTAGAGCTTGGGTGGTTGCTCAAAGTTCGTCATCACGAAGGAAGCAGAAGAAAAAGAGAGCAGTAGTTACACATGAGTATGATGGGCAGTATTGTCATGTCTTTCTAAAAAATGAGATGATGCCACCGTGATGTTTCTGTGCTTGTGCTCAACTCCAGAAGATAGCCTCTCCCCAGTATGTCAAGTTACCGAAGATAAATTAAACTAACCCGATGCTCTTCATCACTTCACTGGTATGCCAAAACACTTGGATTGATACAGCATAATAAGTAATATTCGCAATTATCATAAGAACAGATAATAATTACACCTGAGTTTTTAAAAAATAAAAAGAGAACTGAATGTCATCATTAGTAATGAAGGCTCTGACCAGCCAGACACAAATATGGACACACTATGGGCTCAAGACAGTCACTGTCCAAAATTTTCAAATCACCATTCCAAATGTTCCTTTCTCTCCTCTATGTCTATCAGGCCATAAACGCACACAGGAGATCAGATGTGAGACTTACTATGGCTTAATATGTGGACATCTTTTAAAATTAACCAAAATGAAATGAACATACAAAGATCCCTCCCTCTGACCCAAAAAGGAACATATCTATCGGTAACTTGAACCAATACACTTACAGAGTATTGCACCTGGACATTATTATAATTATTCTTTCATAGACTAAAGTTTTATAATATGCCTGAACATGCAGCAGTTGATACCTCTATATTCAATGAATTAATTCCACAGGCCTTGCAGCAAACACTATATACAAAAAAATCTCAAATGTACAAAAGGCAAAAAGCTTCATTAGTGCCACTTTGCCACTCACAATTATATATATTTAGGGGCAGCTGGGAAATCCACGTGCAATAGTTGGAATGGATTCCATTCCGTGCTAAATCAGTTCAGTAAAATAGGTTATCAAATGACCTCCAGGAAACATGTACACAAAGCCACAGAGAACCTTTGGAAATCAAGAATGTAACACTGTTAGCGTATCTACAGGAGGTAACATCACAGCCATCAATAGTGTCCACACGAGTTGCCACTGCATGTCACACAGAAACAAAACTCCCAAGTACATCTTGCCACATTGTCAGTTTCAGACAAGCTGCTCTTCAATCTATTACCCTCTGCATAACCCATGTTTAGCCTCATTCTGCTTGTTTCAAAGCAGGCATTTCATATCTAATTTTACATGTTTAATGTTTCAAAACCACAACACAGTAGTACTACCATTTTGTAGAAGTGCGCAAAAAGAACATATTGCGTCAGAAAATAAATAGCATTTACGCTGGGAACTTAGGATAAAACTGGAAAGAGAATTTGGGAGCTGAGTTTTGCTAGAACCACAAGGTCTTGGTCATCGCCACTGTGGTCTTTGTGTTCAGGTAGAACTTTAATAACAAGGAGCACTACTTGTTTCTCTCAATGCATACAGTCCTCTATGCGCGAAAGCATTGACAGCACAAGCCTTGCACGACCAGTTTCTCATTGTGTATTAGCCCTTTAATATCTACCTGTATTCACAAGGGAATTTCTATCTTGTGGCCAATTAGAAATCAAATTTGATCATATATTTTTCAATTGTCAATGGAGTTCAAAATCAAATTTCTTTGTCCGCAAAGAGTGATTTCTTCCACGAGATACAAACTTACAAGACTTTGGCATGCTCAAAAGCTAAAACCACAACAAGAAAGAATTAGCCATTCCAGAGCAAACCAGTAAAGCCAGCTAACCCATGCACCTCCCAGTCTCTCTCCACATAGGGCATACCTAGAGGGTGCCCACCCCCATACAGAAGAAGCACCAGTCTCTTATTCTCCTGAACAGAAGGGCAGGGGTGGCAGGCTGGGGGCCTCAGGGGCAGGAGGAATGAGAAGTGAGAAATGTCAGGATTCTACATCCACTAGCAGAGCCAGAGTCTTCTTGTTTGCTTTTTTTTCCCTTTGTGATAAAAGAACTGAAGTTGCTTCACTGCTGAGAGTTCCCAAGGATGGAACCAGGCTTGCCAATAGTCCAAACACGGCAGTGTGTACAGCGAACTGCTGACTCAACGCCAGTCTGCATTACTGGTGAGACAAGAACTGTAAGTGCCTTCTGATCACCAGGTGGATGGGGGATGAGGTGGCCTGGGGGGAGGGAATGCAATAAATAGAAGTGGACATGGGACTGGGGTTCTGGGGAGGAGAAGTAGTTCAAGACTTTCTGAGCCTCTGGACACAGGAATCTTCTCAGTATCCCTTCTTGCAGCATCAGCACACTCCACCTGGAGCAGCTTCTCAGGGCATCAGGTCTTCACCAAAATAGGAGAAGCCTTTGAATTCCTCCTGGTTGATCTGCTTCACAATTGCTTCATCCACAAGTGTGAGTACCGGCTCTTCCCTGGTAAAGTCTTGGTCAAAGTTATTGACATCTCTTTTGGTTTTCTGTGGAAGAAAAGAGAAAGCACTGAGTCAAGGCCGGCCTCCTCCTGAGGGCTCCCCACAAAGAGTGGGCATCACGCTGACCAGCCTCTTGCCAAAGCGGGCTCTAGCTACTGAGGGTAGACACAGAGCTGTTCCAATGAGGTCACGATGGATGGCCCCCAGGATCCGGAGGTGACGGAGGAGGAGAGGAAGAATGAGTCAAAGTGAGAAGGAAGAAGGGGCGAGACGGTATGATGGAAAAGCAGGGAAAGTGGGATCCCCACAGACTGTGTGTGTGTGTGTGTGTGTGTGTGTGTGTGTGTGTGTGCATGAGTGCGTGTATGTATCTGGGGAGAGAAGGATGCAAAGGTCCCATCTCAACCCCCTTCCAGCAACTGTAGTAACCTTCTGGCTCCATGGAGACCTCCCTCTCTGTGATCCAGGAAATGAATGTGAGTTCCCCTTCCACAAAGTCTCCAGTGGTCTTTTTTCCCTGGAAGCAGACTCTGTAAGTGGTGGGTGGGGCCATCTTCTAGGAAGCCTTCCTCGATCCCCACCTACTCTCATCATGAACCCTATTCTGTGCTCCCACATTTCTTATATTCCTGCACTCAATACACTGGCTTGACATGATGTCTTCATGCTTTTTTCTAGACTGAGAACTTGAAGGCAGGGACCTTGTCTTATCCATTCTTGGGTTCCCTACAGTTCTACTGCAATAAGTATCTATTGAATGAAATAAGCAAATTCACTAGTACTGACTCCCTGGCTCAGAAGGACCCAGACCTCACTAGGGGTTCAAGTTCCCAAAGTATGATGGTTTCAGAGGGCAGCAATCAATCAACACACAAACAAACCCTGGTTTTTGGAGAAAATCAGGAAGGGTGTTTTTTAAGTTTTTTTATTTTTTTCTTGACAAGTCATAATTGTATAAACTTATAGGGTACAATATATTTCAATATATGTATACAATGTGACATAAATTGGGCTAATTAACAGTGACCACCTTGCTTATCTGTCATTTTTTTAAAGTGTAATTCACTTCATTATGTGTTTATTTTGATTTGTTGGCAAGCAACTGTCGTTTTACCTATTGTCTTTTATGGTGCATGCTCTTAGTTACTTTGAAATATGTAATACATTATTTATGACTATAGTCCCTGTAAATAATGCTCTCTGCATTTAGGAGCTTACAGTCGAGTTGGGGAGCTAGAATTCCTGCCTAGAACACATTGCATTAGTTAGAAACCTCCAAAAAGAAGTTAGAACTTGGGCTAAGAATTCAAGAATAGGTTACAATTGTGTTGATAGGGATGGGAGGAAGGCAGCTTGGCAGGGAGAAAATGGCACAAAGGCAGGAGGGCAGGAACACAAAAGACATAGGACAATGGGTCCACCAAGCTGCCTGGGGCAGAGTCCAGTGTGGGAAAGTTGTCAGGTAAGGCTGAAGTCTGACCAAAAAGGCCTTCAATTCCAGGCCCCCTTCCCCCCCATGGTCTATAGTACAATGCCGAGAAGACTGAAGCACTCCAGCAGTATTTTTCCAGACGCTGATTAACCCCTGTTACGCAGGATTAGTGACAAGGATGATGGAATAAACCTTGTGGATTGCACTACTACTTGTTATATTTACTATATGCTACTAAGGGTAGCATTACAATCTGTAGGAGGAATAATAGTAATACATCCCATGCTCTGTGGAAATCAGTTACCTCAAAGATGTTAATAAGCAGTCCGTTAAAAAGTAGTTTTGAGATAAAGCTATATTTAAAGCTCTTGAAGATTTGCCATGCACAATGGCAAATTAAAGTCTCTGAAAAGTTCTAGAGTAAGGAAACCTGGCTCACTTGGTTGGGGTTGCTTTCCTCAAACTTGATATAAGACCATCTTTTCCCCCTGAAGTATTTATTGACACCTCTCCCAAGGGCAGAGTTGGGCAATTTTAAGAAGTGCTGCTGTACAGTTTACAAAGAATTTTCACATTCACTCGCTTGTTCGATCCTTGGAACAGGTAGGTATTATGGATGAGGAAACTGTGGCTCAAGGAGGTTTGGTGACTTGCCCAAAGTCACCCAACCTGGTGAGAGCAGAACTAGAACTCATCTTTAGGTCTTAGCATGAAGCCTCCTACAGGGTAGAAAATCTAGAAATTAAGACCAGGGAAATAGGTAGACACTGCCAGAGTCAAGTTCAAGCTGGAGACATGTAAATAAAGCCACGAGGCTAAAATAAAGCCAGAAAGGCCTGCCTGTTGGCAAATAGGGCAGGAGACCATGAGTCAGGGAGAAAGTGCAAATGTGAACTGGAACAGGGGGTCTTTTTCAAACAGCCCCAGATTAAGATGAGAACCATGGACAGCAAGAGCAGGGAGGAGTGAATCTTTGAGCACCATCAGTCCAGCTTGGAGTCTCTCTGGGCTTACACTGCATAGTTC